TTCCTAGTGGTTTATCTTATACTTTTAACTTCTACTTCCTTACTTGAGGAATTGAGAATATTGATTTGGTTGTATCTCTGAGAAGGTGTAACAGGAATTGTTTGAAATCTTCATGCCTAGGCTCCTGTAACTGATGACACCAGGATACTGATCTTCATGGCCCTAAATTGTCCTCACTGCCCGTGTCAGTGTTGCAGTTTGGAACTGAAGGCCGCATTGTTCTCTAGCTCAGTCCCAGTGCTTTTGGTCTTATTGGATGCCTGTTCATTTTCCAGCATCCACCACAGCTTCTGTACACAGCATTCTCTCGTGTTAATGATGTGTAACTTTTGACTTTGATGTGGGAAGTACAAATGCTTATAAGTATAATTTATATTAGAAATTACCTTTTGAAGATCAAAATCTAGACGTAAAGACTAGGCTAGGGGATGGCTTGGTGGTACAATGCCTAGTATGTGTGAGGTCCAAGTGTGATCCCCAGGACTATACAGCAAAGACAAACTGGTACCCTGCTGGTAATTACAGTATAAGCACAATGATATATATATATTGTACAATAGATAAGATAATAGGCTAATTACATTACAAACTATACTTCAACAGTGTTTCATGACTTTTAAACAATTACTTGTTATTTTTATTGGTGTGTGTTTGAGTGTGGTTGTGCATGTGCCGTGGTACAACTTGTGGGAGTCGGTTTTCTTTTTCCTGGGTTCAAACATGACAGTTGGTGGCAAGTACCTTTTATTCAAGTAAGCCATCTCAGCAAATATTTATAGCTAGTAATTATTTTAAATAAAACATAATCCTTAGTTTACTTTGCTAATTTTAAAATAAATAGCATATTAACATACTTTTCTGGAAAAAGTGGTCAGTAAAGCAAGATGTATTATCTTTAGAAAGTAGAGATGAAATAATATACATAATGTATCCAACATACTGTCCTTAGTTCACATGCCCGTAGTTCTATTCGTATCCGACTCCAGTTCGTCTTCCACACTGTAGTCTTGAAAATACAAATGAGACCATCAGCTTCTTGCTGAAGCCAATCCTGGGCTACCTCTGTCACATAACAATCTGAATTTCGTTCTGTAGCTTGCAGTTTGAGGTATCCTGTACGTGTCCTCTGTCCTTCCCCTACTTTCTTACTGTCTGTAACCTTATATAGTTTCCCTGAAGTTGAGTTTGGCCCCACCAGTCTTATTGCACTGGTTTTGTTGTCTGGATATGGTTTTGGCATGTGTCATTTAGCATTACTCTCCACCCCGTGTTGCTTTCGTTTTAACTCAGACATTATTGACTCAGGGAGGCCTTATTTGATTATCTATATTAATTACTCCTTTCCTCAGGCATTTTGTCACCTAGCATCAGATTGGCACTTACAAAATTATCTTGTTTATTTCTTGTTCTCCGTGTGTCCTTGCTGCTAGAGCTGAGTTTAAATGGGTGTTGCAACCTTTTGAATCTGCAAGATTATTAATTATATTGATTTTAAACAATTTCAAAAATAAATGTGCTACGAATTTTGCTTTGTTTTCTTTTTAGTGTTAGACTGTGTAAGAATTGGCTTTGCGGACTTGTTTGCATTTCAGAAGTATGGAGTACTGAATTTGGAAAGGCGATTGCCTGCCTGTGGTCCTTTCTGTTTTGTCAGAGTTTGGAGCACTCACAGTACTTGGAGTCTGTCTATGGCACGATTCAGAGAGTGTGCTTGAATGTTGTTTCTCAAAAGCCCACTAAGCTAAGGTTTCCTGGGCCTGCCAGAATGTAAAATTCTGAAATCCCTTACGCTAGGCAACTGTGTACATACGACTGTCATATGCCGCCTCTGCCCCTCCACCCTGGGTTTTGCTCACTACATAATGCCTTCTTTAGTTTTTGATATTTGTGGTTTCATATGCTGTAGCCATCTGCATCATGTTCAAATTAAAATCAAATTAGATTTCTAGTCAAGTTGTTAATGAGTATACCCAACACTTAATAGTGCTATAAGAAACATTTTTGACCCTATATAAGCAGCTATGTTGCCATTCTATCAGAAGATTCACCCTACTTTGGGAGTTTGTGAAGGTCAAGTAGGGAGAACAAAGATGGATGTTCCAACTCTTTTTACACAGATAAGCTGTATGGGATTGATTGTATGCTGTAGATAACCAGGAGAGAAGACGAAAGACGCTTTTTTAAACAGTGGGAAGAGCTTTCTTAGACAAGGAAGGGGGAGCTGCTTCAAGTAAGTTCTTGAGAAGGACCTGGGGTTCAAGACTCAATTTGAACTGGATCCACACACATGTTCCCACTACAGAGACTAGGATCCAGTTATTCGTTAATCTGTGCCCCATTGTTCACAGGAGAAGCTTGGTGAGACTTGATGGGACATTGGACTCACCTGTAATTTGAATGTTGCAATCCTTACAATTTCATGGCTGATTTTAGCTAGACCAGCTTTGTGACTACTGAGGTGGGGGTGGGGGGATTATTTTAGCGTTGTTATGGAAACTCCCAGATTGACTTTAGCTGAGAATTAGTCCAGGGCTTGACATTCTTTTCTAAATGCTTTAGTGTATTGGAAAGAATCCACCTCTTATCACAGTCCTTGTTTTCATCATTTCTGCCATTGTGGTCAAGTGTAGGAGGGACTCGGCCTTCTAAGGTGTGTCTCAGTGTATTGTTACAGTCAGCCAGAAATGGTAGTGTAACCAATTGTAGTGCTTGCATTGATTACTTGAGTTTCATTTCTCGCTGCAAGTAACTCGGCCCTCCACTCAGGGTCAACGTCTGAGCAAAATCTCAGGATGTCTTTTTGTGTGTCTGGCCTGGAACATTTCCAGTACCAGTTTAACAGTTTGTGCTCTTTCAGGAAACTCCACACACAGCAGTTTTGAAAGGAGGGGGTTGCTGAGGAGATGGCTCAGTTGGTAACATGTTTGATGTCTTGAGTTTAATGCCTAGCACCTAGGTGGAAAAAAGTGAGGTTGTCAGGGTGGCGTGCACTTGATTCTGCACCGGGGTGCTGAGGCGGATAGTTCTCTGGGGTTTGCAGGCCAGCCAGCCAAGCTTCAGGTTCAGTGAGAGACCCTGTCTTAAACACTCAGGCGAAGAGAAAATGAGGAAGATTGATGTTGCCCTGGTTCCCCACACGTGGTACAAATGCATACACACGCACACAGATACATACACATACATCAAAAAATTTAAAGGGTGAGTTGACTACAGTCTTTTTACAAAGTAGTGTGTCAGTAAGTAAAGCTGTGCGAAGAATCCTGAAGTATGGTCTAGGACTGAGGTAGCTCCCGAGGCTACCCCGGAAGAGAGGCCTCTCCTCAGGACCAGGGCTCAGATTTCATTCGATTTCATTCGTTGAGCTGTTGTTGCAGCTCAGGTTCGCTCAGGGGTAGACAGTGAGACTGGTCTGGAGTGATGGGAGGAGGGAGCAGCCATGTCAGGCACATGTTGCAGGTCAACTGGTCTGCATGCACGTGTGGACAGTGCTGTGAGCCGTGGAGTCGGGATGTGTGTCCTTGTTGGGAAGTGGCTCCTGGCTGAGGCTGCCTGCGGACTGCTGAGGGGCTGGGCAGGGCAGGGCAGGGCACCACGTACTCACTTGCAGCAGAAGCGGGTACAGCGGGGATGGACGCACCAGGAAGCAGAGCCAGGAGCTACCCTGCCTGCAGTCTCCTCTACCTCCCTTTCCTAACCAAACAGCACTGTCCTCACTGGGAAAGAGAAATGCCTGACTTCTCTAGTGTGTGCTGGCAGGGCAACTGCTGAAGGAGGCTGCAGAGTAGGGACACGTGTGTAGATGACTGGCCCACTTCTTCAGACTGTTCTACTTGAGATGTCCGAGGGGCTCCATTTTTCCAGAGCAGGCATGCAAGGCGTTCTGTTCTTTGGTTTCGTACTGCTTTATTCTGTGGCTCTGCTGTAGGTCTCTTTGCCATTTCCAGACACCATGGACCTAAGGCCTTTGCCCTGCTGGTTCTTCTTGGAAAGCCCCCTTCCCATGTCTGACAGCTTTCTTACTAAGTTTTGCTCAGATGTCAGCTTTTCAAGGAAGGCTGCCCTGGGACCATTTGTTTCCCTCTAAAAGTGGCCTCTCACTGTTGACACTCTCACGTGATTGACTGCACAGAAATCGGACCCTGATAGTCGATGTCATTTACTGTTTATCATGCCTGTCTCCCTCTGTCATGTCTGTCCTGGGAGGCGGGCGTCCTCTGCAGATAGCTAGCACAGTGCCTGGTGTGCCTAAGGTACTCAGTAAGGACCTGAAGAGCACAGCAGATTCATTAAGGTGAGGTTTGGGTCCAGCAAGGCAGTTCTTTCTATTTTTTAATGTGGTGTGTGTCTGTGTTCATGTGTGTGCATGAGCATGTGTGCGGGTGCGCGTACATATGTAGTCTGTGTCTGTGTGTACTCTGCTTATGTGTCTATGTGCATATATGTATATGTGTGTTCATGTGCATGTAGTTAATGGTAACCGGAGGCAAATGTCAGGTGGCCTCCTTAGCCACGCCTCGGTTTTTATTTCCAGAGCCTGGGTCTCACTGAGTCCAGAGCCTTCAAGCTGGTGTGCTAGCTAGCCAGCTTGCCCCGAGGATCCCTTTTCTGCCATGCCCTCCTGGCATTTTCGTGGTTGCTGGTGATCCATGCTCTGGTGCTCAGGCTTGCGCCACAAGCACCTTGTGAGCTGAGCCCGCTGCCTAGCCTTAACAAAGCAGTGCTCCCTAACTGTTGAGAACAGCGTCACCAGTCCTGCAGGCTGTGCTCTCTTACTCTTCAGACTGCTTTTAGTCTTTGGGGTGGTTAAACTGAATATGGGTATATTTTAGGGGCTTTTTATATGCTATCAAATGAAACAGTGTGTTTTACTTTCTGTCATTTTCAGATTCGGTGACTTTATTTCAGGAGACGGCTGAGCTAGAGAAGTGTTATCTTTTCATTTATTAGGGTCACGTCTCGGTTCATGGAAAGTTAGCTTACTGTTCTATTTTACTTTTTAGGCGCCGAATGTGGAGTAAATGCAGATGTGGAGAAACATCTTGAACTGGGAAAGAAGTTACTTGCAGCTGGACAGCTGGCTGACGCGTTATCTCAGTTTCATGCTGCCGTAGGTTGGTATCATAATGCCAACCACTCAGTTGCTGTCTTCTGAGATCTAGACAGAACTTCTACTTTGTATAACACTTCAAGCATTATTATATGTTAAATAAACCATTAAATATATTTTCAGGATTCCAGGTAAACTAGATTAATAAGCACAACACATGAATGTGTATGTATTTAACAGAAGAGGTAACTGAGAAGGCTCAGTGGTTAGAGCATGGATTGCTCCTTCGCAGGACCCGAGTATAACTCCCCGCACCCATGTCTGTGGGCTTAAGACCCCTGTAACTCCCGCTGAGAAAATCGGCTGCGTTTGGCCTCAAGCACCTGCACTCATGCCCGACCCGCAGGACTTCAACGGGGCCCTAAAGTAGGAGAATGGAAGGGGTGGGGGAGGCGAGGAACAAGAGACACAGGAATGAAGCCAAGCCTGTCTGTCTGACCAAGGCCTCCTTTATTAGAAATTTTGACCCGACTTACATAGGGAGAAGGCAGGAAAGGGGGAAGGTCAATTAACTGCTGCAGGAGATAAGAAGAGCGCTTTCATGGGTTAACTATTGTACCTGCAAGATACCATAGGAGGTTTTCTTAAGATATCTCACGGATGCTCTAAAACTAACAAACAGATGTCCTCACAATCCATCACCCATGATTTAGGGTCTAGATAACTCTTTCACTACATAGCTTTAGGTCTCCACTAAATGACCTTTGCTCACTACTTGCTTTTGGCTTCAGTAAATACTTTTGTCTCCACTCAATAGCTTTGGCTTCGGTAGATAGCTTTGTCTCCACTAAATAGCTTTGGCTCACTATTTAACTTTGGCTTCAGTAGATTGCTTTGGCTCCCGGCACACTCACAGCACATACCTCCACCAAGACACACATGCACACGCTAGCGTGCACACAGACACACACACACAACAGCCTTGCCTTGCATGTAGTTTAAGAAGGAGCCTCTTAGCCGGGTGTGGTGGCACGGGCCTTTAATCCCAGCATTCAGGAGGCAGGGCCGGTGACTCTCTGTGAGTCTAGCCTGGTCTACAAAGTGAGTCCAGGACAGCTAGGGATACACAAGAGAAACCCCGCCTCAAAATAAATAAATAAATAAATACATACATACATACATACATACATACATACATACATACATACATACACCAAACCAAACCAAACCAACAACAAAAAGAAGGAGCCTCTTGTTCCTTGTTGTAAATGCTAGGCTTCCACTTTGCCTTAGGAGTGACAACATGACAGGCTTTAAATGGGCTTTGGGGATATGAACTCAGGTCCTCATATTTGTGTGGCAGATGGCTTACCCACTGAACCATCCCACCCTGCCATAATTGCTATTTTTAAGATGAAATGAAAGTAAGGTGCCATGCAAGTGACCCCATATCTCTAAGCAAGGTGACTTCATTTCTGTGTTGAACCTTTGTCAGTTGATGCTCAGAGTGTAGGTAGAAGAAAAGTGTTTCAACCTCTGTGCTTACCCAACACACAATACTTTTTTACTTCTGTCTATACAAGTGTGTGGAGACTTCTTTCCTCCTAAAGGATCTCTTTGGCTATGAGTTACGGTCATGTTATTCAGCTAAGGGCCGACACTGTATGCTTGGAGTTGACAGGCTAACTCCATAGGTTTTTGAGGAAAACTTGCCCACTTTAGATGTCAGTCTGCACTCCTAGGTCTGCAGGAATAAGTCAGCGTCCCAAGAGCCCCTTCTTAAGTTCAGTTAGCTTGCTAGAGTGGCTCTGGGAATGCAGAGAAGCATCTTTTCTGGTTTTGGATAGTGGACATTACAGGGGATGCAGAGACTCATCCAGAGAGAGGAGGAGCATAGGGCAAGGCGAAGGGAAAGGACCTGGAGCTTTGTTGTTCTTCCGGGTGTGCCACCCTCAGGAATTGCTGAACCAAGCACAGTGTCACTCGCCTGTATCCCAAACTCTTAATTTCATTGCCATCATTCTTACTTTATGTTTATTTGCTTTTTAGAGAGAGTCCAAGCAGTATTGGCGTGACTTGAATTTGCTCTGTAGACCAGGCTGTCTTATGCCTGAGCCTGCCTCCGCCTCCCAAATGCTAGGATTACAGTTGTACACTACTGTGCCCGTTTATCATTCTTAATACAATTGTGAACTTGAGTTTTCTCAGACTATTCTGTCAAAAGTAAATTGCAGGGAGCTGATATTTATTATTTTAATGTTTAGATGGCGACCCTGACAACTATGTTGCATACTATCGGAGAGCTACTGTCTTCTTAGCCATGGGAAAGTCCAAAGCAGCATTGCCCGATTTAACGAGGGTGATTGAACTGAAGATGGATTTCACTGCAGTAAGTGTACCTCAGCTTGCTCACTGGGGAGCATAAGGGAACTGTTAGCAGGTCACCTGTTTCCTGGAGTGAGTATTTGCACCTTCGTCATTACTAGAGAATACTAAAGCTGTTGTGTGTGGAGTGGCAAACAAGCGAAGTTCAAACTCTTCATGTGGCACATAAGTATCTAGAGCCAGTTAGGAGGTAAAGGCAGGAGAGTCCCTTGAGACCAGGGTCTTGAGACCTGCTTGAGTTCTATAGCCAGGTTCTGTCTCAGCAAAACTCACTAAGTTCTCGGTGTTAGCAGTCTGTATGCAGTCTGGGTGTGGTGGCACACGCCTTTAGCCTCTTAAGCCCCAGTGTATGGGAGGCACAGGCATGCACATTTCTGTGAGTTCTGGGACAGTCAGGGCTATCTAGAGAGCCCTTGTCCCAACAAAAGAAAGGTCTGTATGGAAGAGCAACAGAGGGTATACTAGGTGATTTTTAGGAAGACTCTTACCAGTGCTCTGTCTGCACGTACACATGCACACCAGAAGAGGCCACTTAGGTGCCCTTTATAGATGGCTGTGAGCCACCGTGTGGGTGCTTGGAGTTGAACTCAGGACCTCTGGAAGAGCAGCCAGTCCTCACCAGCGAAGCCATCTCAGCAGCCCTACTAGGTGATTCTTTTCAGAAGCTTTACAATATGAAGTTTGTGGTTTGGAAAGACAAGTCTGTGAAGGATGGAATAGAGGCTCGATGTGAGCAGGACCCAAGTGGCCGAAATAATAGGGTGTTGTCTGGCCGATGGCAGTTTGATTTAAGGAGAGGCAGGAAGAGTAACAGAGTGGCTTGGGTAAGGGTAAGGGGTGTTCTGGTGGGTTCCAAGTGCAGTTAGCAGGTTCTCCCAGGCATCAACCAACAAGCGACGGGTTCAGAAGCCTACAGCCTCCTGTCCTGAAGGCTGGCAGGTCACTGTTAGGGCCCTCACAGGTCATGTGAGGGCTCCTTGGTGGTGCGTTATTTATATCAGTATGGCGACACAGCTCACATAAATAACCTAAGAGACAAAGATTCATTTTAACTCATGGTTTCAGAGATCTCAGTATCCAGCACACAGTCCTTGGCTCCATAACTGTGGCCTGTGATGGCAGGGAGCACCATGGCACTGGGAGAAAATAGAAGAGGAAGTTGCTTGCTTTATGGTAAACAGGGAACAGAGCATAATAAACAGGAAGCAGAGAAGAATGTATAGTAGCCAGAAGATATGGCTCCTGAGAATATCTCCTCTGTGTCTGTTTCCTTCAGCTAGGCCCCACTTCCTAAAGTTCTCCCCATTTCCCAAAACAGCAGCACCAGCTGAGGATCACATAGCCAACATAAGAACTTGTGTGGAATCTTTTTCCTTTTTAAAGATTTATTTGTTTATTTTTATTATTTATACAGCATTCTGCCTGCATGTGTACCTTCAGGCCAGAAGAGGGCACCAGATCTCTTTATAGGTGGTTAAGATCCACCATGTGGTTGCTGGGAATTGAATTCAGGACCTTTTGAAGAAAGTCAGTGCTCTTAACCTCTGAGCCATCTCTCCAGTCCCTTTGTGGAATATTTCATCAGTGGAATACATACCTGGTCCAGTCAAATGGCCCCCAAATTAATTTTATGACCATTATTTATAATTTGTTACATTCCCAAAACGGATCTGAGCTGACTAGCCATGTAATGCATGCCTGATTTGAAATACTGCTATAATTATTTTAAGATAGAATTCTCAACTCTTATTTTTGTTGACTTTATTGCTTGGCAGAGCTGAGTACAACCTTCTACAAAGGTTAAGAAACCCATTTTCTTAGCATTGTGATAAGTCATTAGCTGCTGAAATGTCATTTTTATGTGTATTGGTGTAATTTAATAGAAGATCAGGGAAGTTTTATGTTCTGTGAAGTAATACACAGATTTAAGCGGGATGTCAGTGTGGTCTCTGGTTCTTTGAGAAGAGCTGCTCGTTGGAGAGCTGAGGTGATATGTGTTGGAGAGGAGGACTATCGGTAAGCAGGAGACACCCTTCTTAGAGGAGACACCCTCCTTAGAGTAAACGTTTATGTTGAGGGGTTGTTTCAGGGGTGTTGACAGTCTGCACAATTTTCAGTGGAAAAGCGCTAGTATGATGTCAGAAAGTATTTTTAAAATTAGGATACAGAGCCTGGAATGTAGCTTGAAGGTAGAAGCCTTGTATCCCTTCATGAGTCTGTTTTTATTACCCAGCATATTAGAAAAAATGTATATAATTCATGTACCATCATTTCACATTTTGAATTATCAGTGGTTCCTTGTATACTTTTAGGTTGTGCAATGATTGCTATCATTTATTTCTAGGGCATTCTTACCTCTCTGAAAAGAATCTTGTATCTTAAACACACAAAAGAACTCCCCAAATAAAACCTTGCTGGTGGGTTGAACAAAACATATTTTTAGAGGAAACATACTTTGATAAAATTATGTTCATTTTCTAGCTATAGGCATTAGTCTCACTGCTAAGTCAAGTGAACACTAGAAAAATGAGTATTAGTAACTTGGTCACACTGTTTGTTCTTCACACTTAAAGAACATTTAGAAGCCACGGTGCTCAGGACAGCCCCTCTTTTTCCTTCTAGGCACGATTACAGAGAGGTCACTTACTACTTAAGCAAGGAAGACTTGATGAAGCGGAAGACGATTTTAAGAAAGTGGTAAGTACCTGCCTCCAAGAAGAAATAGATATACAGAATGTATTTTTCTTTGTAATATGCTGTTTAACAGTACTTTCTTTATAGCTAAAAAAGAAAAACTTAGGTATATAGGAAGCATAGTTCCTAAATTAATATTAAATGACTGGCATTAAAGAATCATTAGCAGTTGGAAGATAAAATGCACACAGTTGATATGAAGTCCTCATTCAGTTGTAGGCTCACTCACTTTAACTCATGTAGGCTAACTACATGAGAATCTAGAAAGGCCAGCTGAAACAGAATTTCTAGCCTCTAAGTTGGGGCTTCTTGTACATTTTTCCCCTTGTGACTCTCATTCCATAGCTTGTTCCATAACCCTGGGTAGATGGGTATTTGTGTCATTTTACCATTTATTCACGAGGAAGGCAGATTGTATACTAATGATCTCTGTGCTGGTTTTTGCATAAAATGAAATCTTGGGTCTGAGAAGACAGTTCATATGGATAAGGTGCTTACTGTCGTAGTATGAGGCCCTAGCACTCTGTGAATATCTTACCAGGTGACAGACACTGTGCTCTGTGATCTCAGTGCTGCAGCAAGGCGGGGGTGGGGGGGTGGGGCTGAGAATGCCTGTTCAGAGCTTGCTGGTCAGCTTCTCTACCTAACATGTAGTCTCTAGCTCCAGCCAGCTTTTCTGTAAATGGCATGGCTTCATTCTCTGTAACAGTACTGCTCCATTGTATGTGCACACCATTAATCTTTTAATGTGTTCATCTGCTGATGAGCATCCGTGCCGACTGTATCTTGGCCTCTGTGAATATTGTCCAGTAGACACGGGTATTGCAGGCATCTCTTGTCCTCACGTATATACTCAGGTGGGATAGCTGATCATGCGTAGGTCTACTTTTAGCTTTTGGAAGACCTCCATGCTATTTTTCACAGTGGCTATGCTAATTTGCATTCTTTTTTTTAAAATTTTTTTATTAATTACACTTTATTCATTTTGTATCCCCCCATAAGCCCCTTCCTCCTCCCCTCCCGATCCCACCATCCCTCCCCTTTCTGCATGCATGCCCCTCCCCACGTCCACTGATAGGGGAGGTTCTCCTCTCCTTTCTGATCTTAGTCTATCAGTTCTCATCAAAAGTGGCTGCATTGTCCTCTTCTGTGGCCTGGTAGGGCTGCTCCCCCCTCAGGGGGAGGTGATCAACGAGCAGGCCAATCAGATTATGTCAGAGGCAGTCCCTCTTCCCATTGCTAGGTAACCCACTTGGACACTGACCTGCCATGGGCTACATCTGTGCAGGGGCTCTAGGTTATCTCCATGAATAGTCCTTGGTTGGAGTATGAGTCTCTGGGAAGTTCCCTGTGTTCAAATTTTCTTGTTCTGTTGCTCTCCTTGTGGAGTTCCTGTCCTCTCCAGCTCTTACTATTTCCCACTTCTTACATAAAATTCCACTCACTCTGCCCATCAGTTGGCCATCAGGCTCAGCATCTGCTTTGATAGTCTGCAGGGCAGAGGCTTTCAGAGGTCCTCTGTGGTAGGTCCCTAGTTTGTTTCCTGTTTTCTTCTTCTGGCTTTCAGAGGCCCTCTGTAGCAGGTTTCTAGGTTGTTTCCTGTTTTCTTCTTCTTCTGATGTCTATCCTCTTTGCCTTTCAGGTGGGGATTGAACATTTTAGTTAGGGTCCTCTCTCTTGCTTGGTTTCTTTAGATGCATAGAGATGCATAGATTTTAGTGGGTTTGTCCTATGTTGTATGTCTATATGAGTGAGTATATACCGTGTGTGTCTTTTTGCTTCTGGGACAACTCACTCAGGATGATCCTTTCCAGGTCCCACCATTTACCTGCAAATTTCATGATTTCCTTATTTTTCATTGCTGAGTAATATTCCATTGTATAGATGTACCACAGTTTCTGCATCCATTCTTCAGTTGAGGGGCATTTGGGCTGTTTCCAGCTTCTGGCTATTACAAATAAAGCTGCTACAAACATGGTTGAGCAAATGTCCTTTTTGTGTACTTTAGCCTTTTGGGTATATGCCTAGGAGTGGTATGGCTGGATCTTGAGGAAGGGCTATTCCTAGTTGTCTGAGAAAGCGCCAGATTGATTTCCAGAGTGGTTGTACAAGTTTACATTCCCACCAGCAGTGGAGAAGTGTTCCCCTTTCTCCACAACCTCTCCGGCATGTGTTGTCACTTGAGTTTTTTATCTTGGCCATTCTGATGGGTGTAAGGTGAAATCTCTGGGTTTTTTTGATTTGCATTTCCCTAATGGCTAATGAGGTTGAGCATTTCTTTAAGTGCTTCTCTGCCATTTGATATTCCTCTACAGAGAGTTCTCTGTTTAGCTCTGTTCCCCATTTTTTAAGTGGATTACTTGGTTTGCTGCTTTTCAGCTTCTTTAGTTCTTTATATATACTGGATATGAGTCCTCTGTCAGATAAAGGGTTGGTGAAGATTCTTTCCCAATCTGTAGGCAGTCGCTTTGTTTTGATGACTGTGTCCTTTTACAGAAGCTTTTCAATTTCATGAGGTCCCATTTATTGATGGTTGCTCTTAGAGCCTGTGCTGTTGGTGTTCTGTTCAGGAAGTTTTCTCCTGTACCAATGAGTTCTAGGGTATTCCCCACTTTTTTTTCTAGCCGATTTAATGTGTCTGGTTTTATGTTGAGGTCTTTGATCCACTTGGACTTCAGTTTTGTGCAGGGTGATAAGTATGGATCTATTTTCATTTTTCTACATGTAGACATCCAGTTGGACCAGCACCATTTGTTGAAGATGCTATCTTTTTTCCATTGTATGGTTTTGGCATCTTTGTCAAAAATCAGGCGTCCATAAGTGTGTGGGTTTATTTCTGGGTCTTCTGTTCGGTTCCATTGATTCACCATTCTGTTTCTATGCCAGTACCATGCAGTTTTTATAACTGTTGCTCTATAGTACAGTTTGAAATCAGGGATGGAGATACCTCCAGAAGATCTTTTATTGTAGAGGATTGTTTTAGAAATTCTCAGTTGCTTGTTATTCCATACGAAGTTGAGAATTTTTCTTTCCAGGTCTGTAAAGAATTGTGTTGGCAATTTGATGGGAATTGTATTAAATCTGTAGATTGCTTTTGGTAAGATGGCCATTTTTATTATGTTAATTCTGCCAAGCCATGAGCATGGGAGATCTTTCTATCTTCTCATATCTTCTTCTAATTCTTTTTTCAGAGACGTGAAATTTTTTTCATACAAGTCTTTGACTTGCTTGGTTAGGGTTACACCAAGGTACTTTATGTCATTTGTGGCTATTTTGAAGGGTGTTGTTTCTCTAATTTCTTTCTCAGCTCTTTTGTCTTTTGTATACAAGAGTGCTACTGATTTTTTTTTGAGTTAATTTTGTATCCGGCCACTTTGCTGAAGGTGTTTATCAGCTGTAGGAGTTCCCTGGTAGAGTTTTTGGGGTCACTCATGTATACTATCATATCATCTGCAAATAGTGATACTTTGACTTCTTCCTTTCCAATTTGTATCCCCTTGATCTCCTTCAACTGTCTTATTGCTCTAGCAAGGACTTCCAGCACTATGTTGAAGAGATATGGAGAGAGTGGGCAGCCTTGTCTTGTCCCTGATTTCAGTGGGATTGATTTAAGTTTCTCTCCGTTCAGTTTGATGTTGGCTATAGGCTTGCTGTATATCGCCTTTACTATGTTTAGATATGTGCCTTGTATCCCTGATCTCTCCAATACTTTAAACATGAATGGATGTTGGATTTTGTCAAATGCTTTTTCAGCATCTAGGGAGATTATCATGTGGTTTTTTTCTTTCAGTTTGTTAATATGGTGGATCACATTGATGGATTTCCGTATATTGAACCACCCCTGCATACCTGGGATGAAGCCTACTTGGTCATAGTGTATAATATCTTTGATGTGTTCTTGTATTCGGTTTGCAAGTATTTTGTTAAGTATTTTTGCATCAATGTTCATAAGGGAGATTGGCCTGAAATTCTCTTTCTTTGTTGAGTCTTTGTGAGGTTTAGGTACCAAAGTGACTGTGGCTTCATAGAATGAGTTTGGTAATGTTCCTTCTGTTTCTATTTTGTGGAATAGTTTGAAGAGAATTGGAGTTAGCTCTTCTTTGAAGGTCTGGTAGAATTCTGAGCTGAAGCCATCTGGTCCTGGGCTTTTTTTGGATGGGAGACTTTTGATAACTGCTTCTATTTCTTTAGGGGATATAGGACTATTTAATTGATTTACCTGGTCCTGATTCAGCTTTGGTAAGTCAAATCGATCAAGAAAATTGTCCATTTCATTTAGATTTTCAAATTTTGTAGCATATAGACTTTTGAAGTAAGTCCTAATGATTGTTTGGATTTTCTCAGTGTCTGTAGTTATGTCCCCCTTTTCATTTCTGATTTTGTTGATTTGGGTGGTGTCTCTCTGCCTTTTAGTTAGCTTGGCTAAGGGTTTGTCGATCTTGTTGATTTTCTCAAAGAACCAGCTCTTGGTTTCATTGATTCTTTGAATTGTTTTATTTGTTTCTAATTGATTGATTTCAGTCCTGAGTTTGATTATTTCCAGCCGTCTACTCCTTTTTGGTGTGTCTGCTTCTTCTTTTTCTAGGGTTTTTAAGTGGGCCATTAAGTTGCTTGAATGAGCTGTCTCGAATTTCTTCTTGAAGGCACTTAGTGCTATGGACTTTCCTCTTAGCACTGCTTTCATTGTGTCCCACAAGTTAGGGTATATTGTGTCTTCATTTTCATTGAGTTCTAGAAAGGCTTTAATTTCTTTCTTTATTTCTTCCCTGACCCAGCTGTCATTTAGTAACAAGTTGTTCAGTTTCCATGTGTGTGTAGGCTTTTTGCTATTTCTGTTGTTGTTGAAGTTCAGCTTTATTCCATGGTGATCAGACAAGATACAAGGGATTATTTCAATCTTCTTGTATCTGTTGAGGCTTGCTTTGTGACCAACTATATGGTCTATTTTGGAGAAGGTTCCATGAGGTGCTGAGAAGAAGGTAAATTCTTTTGTGTTTGGGGGT